CTGGGAGTATTATTGCTGTGGAGCTCTGTTATACACTCAGACACATTACTGGGAGTATTATTGCTGTGGAGTTCTGTTATACACTCAGACACATTACTGATAGTATTATTGCTGTGGAGCTCTGTTATACACTCAGACACATTACTGGGAGTATTATTGCTGTGGAGCTCTGTTATACACTCAGACACATTACTGGGAGTATTATTGCTGTGGAGCTCTATTATACACTCAGACACATTACTGGGAATATTATTGCTGTGGAGCTCTGTTATACACTCAGACACATTACTGGGAGTATTATTGCTGTGGGGCTCTGTTATACACTCAGACACATTACTGGGAGTATTATTACTGTGGGGCTCTGTTATACACTCAGACACATTACTGGGAGTATTATTGCTGTGTGGCTCTGTTATACACTCAGACACATTACTGGGAGTATTATTGCTGTGGAGCTCTGTTATACACTCGGACACATTACTGGGAGTATTATTGCTGTGGAGCTCTGTTATACACTCAGACACATTACTGGGAGTATTATTGCTGTGGAGCTCTGTTATACACCCAGACACATTACTGGGAATATTATTACTGTGGAGCTCTGTTATACACTCAGACACATTACTGAGAGTGTTATTACTATGGAGTTCTGTTATACACTCAGACACATTACTGGGAGTATTATTGCTGGGGAGCTCTGTTATACAGTCAGACACATTACTGGGAGTATTATTACTGTGGAGCTCTGTTATACACTCCGACACATTACTGGGAGTATTATCGCTGTGGAGCTCTGTTATACACTCAGACACATTACTGGGAGTATTATTGCTGGGGAGCTCTGTTATGCACTCAGACACATTACTGGAAGTATTATCGCTGCGGAGCTCTGTTATACAATGAGACACATTACTGGAAGTATTATTGCTGTGGAGCTCTGTTATACACTCAGACACATTACTGGGAGTATTATTGCTGTGGAGCTCTGTTATACACTCAGACACATTACTGGGAGTAATATTGCTGTGGAGCTCTGTTATAAACTCAGACACAACAAAATATGGGGCTTCTATAAAAGAGGGACAATAGGATAGAAAAGAGGGACAGAGAGATTATTGTCTCAAAATAAGGACTGACCCTCCTAAATAGGGACAGTTGGGAGGTAAGTTGCCATCTAATTTTGGGATTCTGTCAAATCATTGATCTATACAGCTGACCAGAAACAGATCTCCAACCTTGCTACTTTGACCTAAGTATCTACAGTTGTCAATCCACCAAAAGTCAAAGCTGTGTGACTAATATCCTTTATAAGATACAGCTGGTCAAGAAAATTGCCAAATCTCGAACCAGAGAAATTCAGTAGACAGTAAATTATTTTAGAAAAAAAATACATAGTGAAGTTACCTCTTGCTGTGCTCAGTTTACACGTGTAGACACCGCTGTCATCCTCATGGACAGAGTTTAGCAGAAGGATGCACTGCTTCCCGTTGAAACGCATCTTACAGTCTAGCAGTGCCGGCTGTAGCAATTTTCCACGGAACATCCAATCCACGTCGAGATCAGGTGGTCCAGTCACCACACATTCAAACACAGCTGCCTCCCCAGCGCACACACTCACATCGCGCAACGGGGTGACCACTTCGAGACTGGAACTTCCAGAGGGAGCTTCACCCACACAACACAAAGACACAACAAGACACCACAAAGTGACACGACACAATGACCAACAGAAAGACAACACAAAGAGAGGGAAAGAAAGATGTTACACCCAGGAATGAGAAACAAGATATGAGAAATGGGGAGATGACATAACAGGTGGAGGATGTAACCCTTCCCAGAAGATTGAGTTTTTAGAAGGGAACATGGCTAAAACGCTCAATGCTTCGGTGACCGGGGAAATGGAGAGATTGGTGATAAAGCAAAGTACTGGATACGGCCATTAAACAAAACAAGATCCAACAAGCAACATGACACAAGGACGTATAGATCTACAACGAATCTGAGAGACAAACTTTTTTTATATAATTTAATTAGAGTTTTAATCAGAGCTCTGATTTCTGTTTCCACATTTTTACATGTCTGTGGCACAACTACACACAAACGGGATTCAAGAGAAATTATATGTAGCTGCCCTGACCTGCAGCCACAATTTCTTGATGCAGATGCCTTAAATCCCCTAATCACCTCTCATTACAACATGAACAGTATTTTCTAAGCGGCTTCTTAAATTCTCTATCTTTTGGCTTAACACGCTCCCTTCTTGCTTTTTGCATCAAGCTCCATTGTTGTCTGTGGATTGTAAGCCGTTTGAGGATGTCACTAAACCTTTTGTATAAAAGGGCTCCAAGTTCTAGATTATAGATCTAAGGACAGGGTTCCATATTCCTGTACTCGTACGTATATTTATATTTTATTACTGTCTGTGACCCCTCATATATACAATATCACTAATCTTTGGTGCAAGCACTCTATTAGAATGCAAAATAACAAAATAACTGAATAAAATAAAAGCATAACAGTCACCTGCATTCTACCACAAATCCCAATGCACATTTAAAGACCAGAAGTTTAGAAGGGTGTATAGGAATTTGGGAACTATTACGGTTTTATTTACACAGTTCAGTTAATGAATACTATAATCATTGCTTCGACTTAAACATCGAGAGCAGGATTAATTTCTGAATTTTAAAAATCACTAAAGAAAAGCTGATCTTGCTATTTACTGTGAACTGCGCATAAATCATAAGCCAACCGTTGAGTCAAAGGAGAGCTGAGAATTTTGAAAATACCATTTACCTACAAATCTACTTATTTTTTAAATTTTTAAAGAACTGATGAATTCCGTGATTCCACTGATGCTCTATTTTTCTCGATATGGGAGTAAAATGTCAGGTGATCTGTTTGTTGGGGGCAAGACAGTTTCATACAAAAGTTACATTGTCACTGAACCAAACATAATCAATAAATGAAACCCACTTCTGCTAGGAAAGTATTTTTGAAAGTACACTGTTGTTAAAAGGTGAAGTCTTTTTTATTGATTACATTTATTAAACAGATATAAAAAAAAAAATTTTTCACTGTTCCCACCACCCACATGTGGGATATATATTAGCTGGGGTGGATGTAACAGAATAAATTCCGGGTTATTTACAAAAGTGCAAAGTCAAAGTGAATGCAAATTTAAAATCAAAATTGCCATATTAACAAGTCACTGTCACGACTCCTACCGTGCTGGTCTCCCTCGATGCCGAAAAGGTCTTTGATAGGGTCAACTAGCCCTACCTTTCCGGTCTTCTCTTATCTAACTAGGTTTTCCACCATCTTATCCCGCCATGATACGAGCTATGTACAGCAACAGGACTGCACAGGTTCGTATTTCGGGAACCCCAAACATAAAGACTTAACGACCAGTTAAGTAGGTTGGGTAACGGTACGCGGCAGGGTTGCCCGCTCTCGCTGTTGCTATTTGTATTGTCTCTGGAACCCCTCCTGCAAGCTATCCGTGAACACCCGGACATTCACAGGATTACAGTAGGGGATACACAATTTTTGGTTTCGGCATACGCCGATGATGTTCTAATATCACTCACAAACCTGGCGGGGTCTATCGCAGCACTCCGGGATCTCTTGATAACGTATGGATCCATTTCAGGTTATAAAGCGAACATGAACAAATCTAGTGCCCTTTCCTTTGGCATGTCGGCGGCAGACACGGCACACATTCAATCTACCTATAGCATTCAAATGGCACATCGCTCCCTCAAATACCTAGGGACTCATTTAACAGCTGACCCAACCAAATTGTACAAAATGAACTAAAGACCTTTATTAAAAACATTGGTTAGAGATATGGACAATTGGATGGATAAACCAATATCGTGGATCGGCCCTGTTCACTCCGTAAAGACGAACATATTACCACGTATTCTATTCTTGTTCCAGGCCCTTCCGATTAAGATGATGAAAACAGAATTAACACGCTTACAAAGCGCAATTGGTTTGTTTATTTGGCAGAACAAGAGGCACAGGGTCTACAGAAATGTTCTCTACCGCCCTGAAACGAGGGGAGGTTTGGATCTACCTCACCTTTATTATTATTATTTAGCTGCGCAGCTTACGCAGATAGCGATGTGGCATGTACCACTGGATGTTAGGAAATGGGTCGATTTAGAATGCTTAATGACAGGAACAGACCTCCCCAAATACTACATGTGGGTTCCTAGAGAGAGCAGAGTTATACTACGGTCCACGTGCCTGGCCATACTTAACTCCCTTAGAATCTGGGATGCAACAGCATCTTCATTTGGCCTACCTTCCTCCACCTCCCCTATCACTCTAATACTCAGAAACAGAGTGTTCCCTCCAGGTATGTCAGCTCGGGACTTCAAAAATATTGAACGGGCAGGCCTCCAGAGATATTGTCATCTATACGAAGATAGTGTACTTTGATACCCTCAAGAATCGCACTAGACTTACCCCGGCAGATTATTTTCTGCTATTTACAGATTAGGGATTACGCAAAACACACATGTGTGAAAGAGGCTGCGCACAAAAAACTGACCTCTTATGGAAGGCTGTTTCTGAATGAGACTCCCCAGAAATGTACAAAAGTTAACGTGTCTGATGCAAAGTAACGTTAACTTAGATAGAACTGCAAGATTAACAATACAGTGCCAGCAATAATTGCTAAACAGGGTTATTCACTAAACTCTGAGATAAAGTGACGTGAATTCCGAATGGCATTTTTGCCATACAATTCAGAACAAATCAGATTTGAGTAAATAGCCCCCTGAAGTGTGAATTTATTATCTGGCATTCAAAACTTAAAGAGCACTCTGAAATTACAAGCCAAATAGCCCAACTGAATGTGTAAAATTCCATATAAAGTATCTTTGAATTCCTGACAATTCACATTTTAGTAAATAATCTGCTTGTGTAAGGTTGTTTTAAATTAGAAAAAAAAGGACACGTACACAAGTGTTCAAAAACAAAATTTTATTGGGACTACAAAAAAATAGAACTATTTTAAACAAAGTATGTTCTATTCTGTTCTGAAAAGCCAGGGGTGCAAGACTCACAAAATACCAAAACTATATCCAGTGCCACCATCCCAGTGTTTACATTTTTTTAGTGTTACACGTAATGATGTAATCAGTAGCTAAAAAGCAAGGAATAAAGTAACAAAAAAAATCTCAATAATAATTATTCCCTGTACCACACAATCGTTTTGTAAATCCTTGCCCTGTTGGTGCATAGATCGGCCATCCGGGTCTTGCATTATTATAATCCACATTACAGTCCTAAATAATCCTGCAGACTGATCCGAATTATACTACACGTCATCTAATTAATTTGTTGCGTCAGCATATCAATCCGTACGGTACAGGAGAGGTAATTGTATAATTTTCAGTGGAGTTTGTTTGCTGCCGACGCATTTTACAAGCAAATATCCTAAAGTTGTGCAATTCTTTTTCTTTTTATTCATTAAACATTGGATGGTAGTGAACGCCAAACTAAATTGCAGAGATATATATCTATATATATTATCCAAGGATGTCTATGGCGGAGTTGGATAATTATTCCAAATCAGATATTTCTGACCAAGTCTTGCAATCCGTTTTTTAATTCACCACAATGCAGTGTTTAGTGATTGAAGTCCGTTGTTATTTGTGTTGACATACAATGAGAAGGTTTAGTCCTGCAACCATATAGTATTAGTTACTACTCAAAATACTGTACATACATCTCGGTAAATGTTATGCCACAGGTGACGTGAACTAAACTACAATAATTTTATGCCCTTTTAGGATTTCTTTATACACTTTTTCACAGTCAGAATACAATATTTTTGGCTACAGAACCCTGTGATTTTTGTATAATATTGTTTCAAGTAACATAATTTAATAACTTCTGTTTTAAACAAGGAATGTGTATACAAATTGCTTAAGGCAAGATTGCCACGATTTTAGCTCTGACGTTTACTTACTTATAATTGTTTAAATAGCACCAACATACTCTGAAGCAATGTGCAAAATTCCTCCAGACACAGTCCAACCTGTGCCAATATCCATATTCTATACTTTTGACAGCTAAGCTGTGTAATCAGATTAAGAACAATAAAACTACTCCGGTATGATTTTATTAATAACCGTTACTAGCCAGCAGATAGTTAAAGCCCGCTTTGGAAATTTATATTATGAGCAAAATACGCAATGCTGCTGTAAAAGTGTTTAATCCCTTAAGGACCAAACTTCTGAAATAAAAGGGAATCATGACATGTCACGTGTCCTTAAGGGGTTAAAATGCATGGTCCTCTTTGGAACGTGCTGCTAAAAAGCAAACTATCTTTTACAATATATTTAGCATTTCTACTTTAATTTATGAACCATATTGATTAAGAGTAGGTATATGAGAAAAAAGAGCAAGTTTTAACTTAAATATATCTATGGATTTAAAATGTTAAGAAGATTTATTTTTTAAGTAACAGGAAGAAAATTATTGCAAGTATAAAACATAGGGTACTAGACCACTTGCCCCATAACAAACAGTGCTTGGATGTATATGCGTATTAATTAGCAAACTGTGGCCTTGATTTAAAGGGACACGATAGTCACCAGAATAACTACAGCTTATTGAATTTGTTCTGGTGAGTAGAATCATTCCCTTCAGGCTTTTTGCTGTAAGCACTGTCTTTTCAGAGAAAATGCAGTGTTTACATTACAGCCTAGTGATAACTTCACTGGCCACTCCTCAGATGGCTGCTAGAGATCCTTCCTGGGTCATGGCTGCCTAAAATGCATCCAACCATTCAGCATCTCCTCCCTCTGCATGCAGACACTGAACTTTCCTCATAGAGATTCATTGATTCAATTCATCTCTATGAGGAGATGCTGATTGGCCAGGGCTGTGTTTGAATCATGCTGGCTCTGCCCATGATCTGCCTCCTTGTCAGTCGCAGCCAATCCTATGGGGAAGCACTGTGATTGGATCAGGCTATCACTTCTGATGATGTCAGCAGGCAGTGGGAAGGTCTAAAGGAAACAGGGACAAAATATGCAACTGCAGACTTGAATACAAGTAAGATTTACTATATTTAGGAAAGCATGAGGGGACCAGGCTAGATGGTGGTTTTAACCCTATAGGGTCAGGAATACATGTTTGTGTTTCTGACCCTATAGTGCTCCTTTAATAATATTTGTATAAGATTTTCAAGTGATTTAATATTTTTAGATCTACTTTTCAAATTATTCACTATTATAAAAAATATTTTAATATTTTACTTTTT